AAGCCGTCCGGCTCCTTTCTGCCCAGACATCGTCGCCTTGGCGCCTTGACGTCGCGCCCCCCCTCCCCCCACACACACACACACCGCCACCCTCGCCCTCGCCCTCGCCCGCATGGCCTCTATTTATTCTCTGGCCCTCGTCGCCTGCAACACTCGCCCGACATGAACTTTAGCCCGCTCCCTCGTGACGCCGCCCTCCGCAGGCTCAACGTCCGAGCTTTGTCCCCCGTCACTCTCCTCTCATTTCAGACCCCACACATGGCATAGCTGTTCGCGCTTCTGACCAATGCAGGCGCCTTGCCTCACCCCTCTCACGGGCGGCCCCCATTCTCTCTGCTCTGCAGGACGCGCGCCGAGAGGCGCTACATGGTCGACTTCAATGAGAGCGAGGGCGAGTCGGCTTTCTTGGTTGTGAGATCAACAAAGGGCGTCTGGTTCGACAACCCCCACGTGTTCCATCGGAGCCTCGCAAAGGTGCCAATCAGCTTTTGTTTCGCGGAGGGGGCCCAGGTTCAGACCGAGCTCGGGCCAACGGCTTCCGTCAAGGTCGGCGGCTACTTCGCTTCCAGTGCGGATTATGAGGAGTGGTATCAGCGCCGCCGCGCGAGCCTGACGCTGCCGCCTTTCCTCGGAGCTGAGGTGCGCACGCGCACGCCAGGATCGGCATTGTCCCTGCGGTCGTCTCCAAACATCTACATTTACGTTTCTCCCTCGACATGACGCCGACACGCCTGACCGGCGAGGGGGGCGGCAAGCTGACGTGCGACGGCGAGCTGCACGCGACGGACTTTGTCACGGCGGAGGGAGCAAGCCTCGTGGAGCAGTTCGAGTCGCTTCGGAACTTTGTGGGCATGGTGCCGCCGTCGACTCCGCCGACGCCGCCGCCCACGCCGCCGCCGACGCCGCCGCCGCCACCGCCGTCGCTGCCGTCGCCGCCGTCGCCGCCACCACCGCCATCGCCGCCGCCGCCGCCGCCGCCTTGGACTGCTGATGAGTACGAATATCTGCCAAACCTAAATTGCAACTCATTGCCCTCGGGAGGGCCGAACTGAGGCGCCCGAGGGGACCCCGCAATTCCCTTCCCCCCTCGGAGGGCCGGACTGAGGCGTCGAGGGCCCCACTCTTTCCTTCGCATAGCGGCCACTCTTCGGATCGCTGGTCGAGCGACCCGGGGGATGCCCCGCGCGCCTGACCCAGGCGCGGAAACGAATCTGCGAGGCGAGGCCGCTCACGCGGCCCGATGGGGAGGAACGGGGCGAGCCCCCTCCAACCCACCCGCGCTAGGTCTCGGGGTTGACGCATGGGGTCACTCCCGCGAAACTCGTGAACTAGCCGGGGCAGTCGGAGAAGGGGCAACTCCGTGCACTGACGGTCGGCCGTCAGAAAACACGCCTCCGTGGCTCGGGTTACACCAATCCTCGCTACCCAACGCGGCCAAAGGATATCCACCTCGAGAACCTCCAGAGGTTGAATTCTTCCTACGCCATTCGCGCGACACCGCCGATGGGCCGCGATTACTATCGAGAGCTGGGCGTCGCCAAGGACGCCAAGGATGCCGACATCAAAAAGGCGTACCGAAAGGCCGCCGTGCAGTGGCACCCCGACAAATGGGCGGGCAGGTCGGAGAGCGAGCAAAAGACTGCGGAGGAGAGGTTCAAGGAGGTGGCCGAGGCATACGACGTCCTCTCCGACCCGGACAAGCGCGCCGTGTTTGACCGATATGGCGAGGAGGGGCTCAAGGCTGGCGGGCCTCCGCCGCCGGCCTCGGACGGCGACACGCACCACTTTGGCGGCTTTGGCCAGGGTGGGAGCAGCTTTGCGCACGGCGGCGGCGGCGGCGCGGGCTATGAGTTTAGAGGAGACCCGGCCGACATCTTTGCGCAGTTCTTTTCCGGCGGCTTCAAGCGGCAAAACTCGTTTGGCGAGACCCCGTTCGATGGGCACGGCGGGCTCGAGGAGATGCTCGCCGGGATGGGCGGCGGTGGTGGCGGGAGGCCCAAGGCCAGGCGCTGCCACCTCCCGGAGCGCGAGCACAATTTGCCCTGCACGCTGGAGGAGCTGTACCGCGGTAAGCTCAAAAAGATGAAGGTGACGCGCAAGTCGCTGACCCCTGGTCGGCCGACAGAGAAAATCCTCGAGCTGCCCATCCGGCCCGGTTTCAAGGCTGGGACGAGGATCACCTTCTCGGGCGAGGGCGACGAGTACGCTGTCCCTCCCCCGGGCGCCCCGCCGTGCGCGCAGGACATCGTGTTCATTATTCGCGAGGCCAAGCACGAGCGGTTCCACCGCGAGGGCAGCGACCTACACTACCGCATCAAGATCTCGCTCAGCGACGCGCTCTGCGGCTTTACGCACGACATCAAAATGCTCGACGAGCAGGAGCGGGTCAAGCGGCTCAACATGCGGACGCCCGTCTCCAACGTGACGACCAAGGTGCTCGCGGGTGAGGGCATGCCCAAGAGCAAGGAGCCCGGCAAGAAGGGAGATCTGATTATCTCTTTCGAGGTGGCCTTCCCGACTCGAGAGCTCACCGACACTCAAAAGGCCGCCGTCCGCTCCGCCCTGCCCATGGGTTGAGCGAGGAGTCGGGGACGGGCGGTGGATGATGCTTGGTGCTCGCGCCCTTCCTCCGCCCACCGCTTCGCGGGACCTGCGAGCATCTTACTAGGACCTAGCACCCGCAGTCTAGACCAGCGCAAGCATAGAGGTGTACGCTCGAGATCTGAGAGATAGGGTCGACCCGCTTGATGCGGACCGCGAGGTCTTCCGGCCAGAGCTCACGTCATCGCGGCAGCGTCTGCTGCAGATCCTGTTACGCGCACGAAATTCTTTTTTCTAGCTTCCACTTAAATTTTCCGGCTAAAATTCTTTCCGTCGCCGTGTAAAATTCTTTTCCTCGCGATGTCCACCCCGCCGCGGCGCCGCTCGCGCCGCCTCGCCGCCGCCACCACCGCCGCCCCCTCGCCAGACGCGCCGCCGCCCGTCCGCCTCCTCGATCTCCCCACGGAGATCCTCGTGCGCGCCCTCTCTCGCTGCGACAGCCCCGCCGACATCGCTCGCGTCGCGGCCGTCTCGCTGCTCTTCCACGCCTCGCTCGCGGTGGAGGCCATCCGCTTGTGGGCGCGAGAGCGCGGCTTCGAGCTGCCGGCGCAGCCAGAGGGCGAGAGCTGCGCCGTGCGGTGGCTGTGCTTTGCCGCGTTGCTGTGCGAGTCCAACCCGCAGGTGAGGGCGTCGGCAGGCCGGCACCACAGCCTCTTCATCGACGGCGAGGGGCGGCTCTCGTCGTGCGGCTTGGCTCAAGAGCTCCTCGGCCACGGTGTGGGCGTGACGTGCCTCAACACACCGACCCGCCTCCCGTCGACGCTGGGTGGCGAGCGCGTCGTGAGCGTGTCGGCTGGAGACAACCACAGCCTGGCGCTCACCGGCGGCGGCGCTGTCTGGAGCTGGGGCCGCGGAGCCCTTGGCCAGTTGGGCCACGGCGACGATCAGAGGCAGCTGCTGCCCAAGAAGATCGAGTCCTTTGCAGGCCGGTGCGTCATCGCAGTCTCGGCTGGACAGTACCACAACCTCGCCCTCACTGTCGACGGCGCCGTCTGGAGCTGGGGTTGGGGATTCGATGGCCGGTTGGGCCACGGCGACGATGAGAGCGAATCGCAGCCGGAGACAATCGAGGCCTTTGCTGGTCAGCGCGTCGTCGCTGTCTCGGCTGGAGATGGTCACAGCCTCGCCCTCACCGCCGACGGCTGCATCTGGAGCTGGGGCTTTGGAGCCGACGGCCAGCTCGGCCATGGCGACGAGCAGCCCCAGCAGCTGCCGAAGAAGGTGGAGGCCTTTTCTGGCCAGCGCGTTGTCGCTGTTTCGGCTGGAGGCAACCACAGTCTTGCCCTCACCGCCGACGGCGCTGTCTGGAGCTGGGGCCGGGGAGACAACGGCCGCCTGGGCCACGGCGACACGCAGGAGCAGCTGCAACCCAAGAAGGTCGAGGCCTTGGTTGGGCAGCGCGTCGTGATCGTATCGACTGGGTGGCAGCACAGCCTCGCCCTTACAGCCGACGGCGCTCTCGTTAGCTGGGGCGATGGCTACGCTGGCAAGCTGGGCCACGCCGACCAGCAGGACCAGCTGCTGCCGAAGAAGGTCGAGGCGGGCACGCATCACAGCCTCGCCTTCGCCGCCAACGGCGCCGTCTTCACCTGGGGCAAGGGCATGCCCGGCTGCCTCGGCCACGGAGAGGACCGGTCGAACCAGCTGCTACCCAAGAAGATCGAGGCGCGGGCGCCGGGGCAGTGAGGCAGCGGTTATGGTACGGGAAGACGGCCGCTGTCGTCAGTGTCTGCAGCCTCCTAGGAGGGCCTAGCAAGTAGGCGGGCGGTGGGGCGGAGGGGGGCCGCACCACTCCCTTTGGCGCGCGGAATCGTACCATACCAAGCAAATAGTTGACTGCCGCAGAGTCGGCCAACGCTCTTGACGCGGCGCGCGCCGAAGGCCGGCGCGTGGGCTCCGCGGCCGAGGAGCGCCAACGCGCCGCTGATCGGGCAGCCAAGGAGCGCCGCACACGGGCTGTCTTCGGGACCGGCGCTCTTGCTGTGAAGGCTGGCGTGAGGAAGAACGTTCTTCGTGGGGTGCACTGGTGTGAGCAGCGATTTCATGAGCGAGCACCTCCTGCTGATTGAGAGGGAGTCGTCCCCAACACTGATCACCCCGCCTCTGCCCGCCGAGCAGCGCCGAGCCGTCGAGACGGCATGGCGCGGGCTGCACCACGAGCGCATTGGCCTGGAGGGTGGCGAGCGCCCCGCCGGCGAGCCATCTCTCGTCTGGACGCTTCCACGCGCTCATCCTCTCCGACTTGTCTGAGGACTCGCGGGCCATCCCGGCCGTGGAGCGTGAGCTCGGTCCCACGCTCCTGCGCTTTGCCGAGGGTGGCGGCGCAATCGCCGTGACGACGGCCGACTCGGGGATGGTGCTGCCGATATGGGGGGCGACCCTCGCGAGCGGTAATCAAGTGGAAAAAGAAAAATTACACAAGCGCCGGCCAAAAAATGGGGCTGGGGGGGAGTCGGAGAGGGCCGTGCAGGACGCGTGTCGACACACAGCTGTTGTTGGAAGTACACACTGTCGCGTCGTCCTAGCACGGGGGAGTTCGAGGGGGGGTGCCCGTACCCGTGATGTGGACCGCTAGCTTGTAACAGCAGCAACGTCAGTAACTTCGGCTCCTGCGCTCCTCGCCTCCTTCCCTGCTCACTGCCCCGGCGCCCACGCCTCAACCTTCTTGGGCAGCAGCTGGTTCGACAGGTCCTCCCCGTGGCCTAGGCAGCCACGTTCGCCCTTGCCCCAGGTAAAGACGGCTCCATCGGCGGTGAGGGCGAGGCTATGTTCTCCCGCCGCCACAGCGACGACGCGCTGGCCAGTGAAGGCCTCGACCTTCTTGGGCAGCAGCTGTAGCTGCGTGTCGCCGTGGCCCAGCTTGCCGAAGTCTCCATCGCCCCAGCTCCAGATGGCGCCGTCGGCGGTGAGGGCGAGGCTATGTTCTCCCGCCGACACGGCGACGACGCGCTGGCCAGCCAAGGCCTCGACCTTCTTGGGCAGCAGCTGTAGCTGCGTGTCGCCGTGGCCCAGCTCGCCAGAGTCTCCATAGCCACAGCTCCAGACGGCGCCGTCGGCGGTGATGGCGAGGCTGTGCGACCCTCCAGCCGACACAGCGACGACGTGCTGGCCAGCAAAGGCCTCGACCTTCTTCGGCAGCAGCTGCTTCTCCTCGTCGCCGTGGCCCAACCGGCCTGACCTTCCCCAGCCCCAGCTCCAGACTTCTCCGTCAGCGGTAAGGGCAAGGCTGTGCTCGCGTCCAGCCGAGACTGCGATGATGCGCTGCTCAGCCAAGGCCTCAACCTTCGTCGGCTGGCATTGGTCCTCCTGCTGGTCGCCGTGGCCCAGCGCGCCCAAGCCTCCCTGGCCCCAGCTCCAAATAGCCCCGCTGCCGGTGAGGGCGAGGCAGTGGAAGCTTCCAACCGACATGCTCACGGCGCGCTCACCGCCCAGCGTCGACGGGAGGCGGGTCGGCGTGTTGAGCCGCGTCACGCCCTCGCCGTGGCCAAGGAGTCCTATTTGCCAGTTCCTAGCCGCGCCGCACGACGAGAGCCGCCCCTCGCCGTCGATGAAGAGCGCTGTGCCGTTCGCCTGCGGCCGCCCTCGCCGGTGGGTTGGACGCGCGCAGCAACGCCGAATAGCACAGCCACCGCACGGCGCAGCTCTCGCCCTCCGGCTGCGCCGGCAGCTCGAAGCCGCGCTCTTGCGCCCACAAGCGGATGGCCTCCAGCGCAAGCGAGGCGTGGAAGAGCAGCGAGACGGCCGCGACGCGAGCGATGTCGGCGGGGTCGCAGCGAGAGATGGCGCGCACGAGGAGCTCCGTGGGGAGGTCGAGGAGGCGGGCGGGCGGCGGCGTGCTTGGCGAGGGGGCGGCGGTGGCGGCGGAGGCGAGGCGGCGCGAGCTGCGGCGCGGCGGGGTGGACATCGCGAGGAAAAGAAAAACGAGGGAAAAAGAAAGAAAATATCAGCAATAAGTACCGCGTCGAGAGAACAATTTCTTTCTTTTGAGAGACCCATCGCACCGCCGTTGCGCACGCCCACCGCCTCGCCTAGGCCGGAAAAAGATGAGGAGATGGAACAGCCCGAGGGAGGAGTCTGCGAGTCGTGCTTTCCTCGATCCCCCGCCCTCCCCCGCCATCTCCGCCCTTTGTTTGGCTCCTGCCTTACCACCATCAAATCAAACTCGGGCGAAAGACCCCATCCCGGGCTGGGGTGCTAACCGAAAAGAAATCGTTTTCCCGATTCGTTTCTGCCGGAGCCGCCGCCGTGCGCGCCCGTCGTCGCGCGAGCAGGCAGATAAGGGCTGCATCGCGCGCATGATGCACGCACCGTCGTGCCCGAGGCCCTCGTCGACCTATCTCGCTCAGACTAAATCCCGCGGAGCCCCAGAGTCCGGATCTCGCGGGGCCTCTACTTCGGACGGTGCAGACGACGACGCCACCAGGGCCGCCATCGACGAGCTTCTCTCCGACCCGGCCCGGCGGAACGTGGTGCATTCCTACTCGCTGCACGCGGCGACGGAGGTGGAAGGCGGGCTGAAGCTGCATCTCGTGCTCAAGTTCCGGTACGACGAAGCCCTAATTGAGGAATACTTTGGCGCAACGAAGCCTGCAAAGGCAGTAGAGAAGAGATACGGAGACGCGCACCGCCTCTTCCCGTACTGCATATTCAACTCAATAGAGGAGACCAACATCTCGTGGACGTACCAGAACAAGGATGGCAAGGTTTACGAGCGGATCGAGCTCTTCGTGACGGTGACCAGCGTGACGTACAGCCGCTACCACCCGCACATCCTCAAGCTGCTCTGTTTGAAGGTTGGCTCCGACGGCACGGCAAAGACTGGGGCCATCAACCTACGGCCAGAGCTGGACGAGGCCGGGCGGCCGAATGTCGACTTTGGCGTCTTCAAGAAGGAAACATCCGAATACCGCATTGCGGACAATGGCGTGGAGACGGGAGATGTGGTCCGCTGGACATCCGCGCAGGATCTGACAGCCGTCCACTACACACGTCATGACACAGCACGTCAGTATAGGTCTGTCGGATGGTGGTGCGCGACCTGACAAAACAGTCGCTGGGCAACTCATCCGGCGTGTATACGCGCGTGTATACGGTCTTCCTGTTCGAGGCGCCTCACGGGGAGGACCTGACAAAGTTCATCATCTTCTCGTCGCTACTCGTGCAGCTATCCATCTTCATGCCGGCGCTTGAGCTGGCGGATATGATTGGGAGCGGCCTCTCGCTCGTGCTTACGCAGGCGCTGCCGCCGGGGAGTGCCGGGGAACGCCATGTGACACGCGGTGAACTGGTTGAGCTTCGCCCGCATAGGTTGCGCTACTCTTTGTCATGCCGGCGACGGCAGAGATCACCACCTCCGAGACCATCGTGGTGGGACACGCCTGCTTCCTCTTGCTGATTACGCTGGGTCTCGGCGTGAGCATAGCCTCAAGTCCGGAGGGGGCAGCGCATAGCAGCTGGCAGCCGTGCGTGGTCGCCGCAGATGTCGGAGTCGCGCTCGCCACAGCCGCGTGGTACCGCCGCGAGCGGATGGCTTTCAAGGGGCTGGTGGGCCGCGTCAAGGATCGCTTGCGAGCCGTGCATCCCTTTGTGGGCGCGTTTGGGGCGATAGACAGGCACATCTGATGCTCTGAAACCGTCGAGGAAGGCTGCATCGTCGCGGTAGTGGGCGGGCCGTGCTTGTCTCGGCGTGGAATTCGTTTTCGTTTTTCGCCCTCGAAATTCTTTTCTCTTCTGGCGAGACTATTACGCCCGATCCGCCCTATTGAGGCTTCCGTCGGGGTGTTCCCAATTCCCAATTCCTATAACGAGTGCAGAATAGCGCCCAGACTCGGCCCGCGGCCCGAGCCTGGCGGCCGCGCCTGGACTCGCCACCGTGGGGGCGGGCGTTATCGCCCGCTCCCCGCGACGGACGGCTACACGACCGCGGCTCGTGTGCGTGTAGCCGTCTTTGTCCGGAGTGAATACTCAAACGCGCTCGTCGGTGACGGTGTCCCCGGATTTCGCCGCGCTCGGCGAACCTCGACACACGACAGCGCCGCTTCGGTGGCATGCATCAAGCTGCTGTACGGCCCCGGCATCGCCTTCCCAGGCTTAGCTAGACTGAGAGATATTGTGGACATGGTTGGTCTCTACAATATATACACTGACACTGAACCTCCCAGAGCTCGTCCCGGTCCGTCACGGCCATCCTCGGCCTCCGGAGGGCCCCCGGCCGCGGCGCGGTGCGGCGGAGTCACAAATCCGACGGCAGAGCACCGGGACGCGGTCGGGCGATCTAAGGCCCAGTGAGGCGTATGCATTGCCCATCCAGGACTATCACCTGGACCTATCAACAGGGGCTGGAGCCGAGCAGGAGGGCCCGGCGCACAACCCCTAGGTTCAACACCTTGTGACGGTGCCCTGGCAAAATCGTCCCGATTTCGATGCGCGATTTAGCTAAGTCCCAGAGCCGTTTACGCATGAGCGGGCCCCCTCACCAGCCTAGGGCTCGCGCTTCTGGCCCGAGGTGTCGCCGCTGCCTCCCGCGCCCTCCGGCGCCTGCTGCTACTGCCGGTCGGCCGGTCGGGTCCGCGCGACGGCTCCATCCTCGAGACGTAGCGGTCGCTGAGCGCTTTCTCGACCGCTACGTCTTCCAGTGCACCCACCCACCGCGACCCTCGAACCTGCGCTGCGCGGCGCAGTTGCTGCCGAGCGAGACGCCCCCGCCCGCGAGGGGCGGCATCACCAGACGCTACCGCATGGCCGAGCAGCGAGCAGTGTGTGCCGCAGTGCCCGTCCGGGCCCTCTTGCAGCTGCCTCTATTGGGCGTAAACCGCGGATATAAGGGTCTATACGGAGGTGGGTGGCCTCTTAGAGGTATGGGAGCCGCTGGCACCGCGCTGGGCGCCGCGGATGCACGTACGAACGAACATTATGAAATCGCGACGATTTTGACCCAAAAATCACACAAGGTGCTCACCCTCCACGACACGTACCGGCCCGTACGTACCCTAAAAGCGCCTCCCGCCGGGGGGACGAAGTGCCAACCGCAGTTGGCCTTTTACCGCGAACAGTTTTTTTGTTTTTTGATTTTTCCCGGCGGGGCGCGGGGCGGCGGCCACGGGCACGGCGGGGAAGTTCAAACACACAGTTGAGATGAGCGCCCCTACCTCCGACGAAGGCGCTACCTCCCCTTGTGCTCACTGCACCGCAGCTGCCTCACGAGCACCTCCTTCGCCTCTGCGCACTCGCGCATCTTCCGCTCCGCTCTCGCCTTGACGCCCTTGTACCGGTCGGGGTGCCACACGCGCGCCAGCTTCCTGAAGGCGTGGGCGGAGCGCGGCTCGGTCGGGCCCTCTATCTTGGTTGGGTGCACTTGGAGAGTTTGCGCGTCGGTGCGCGAAGTAGGAGCGGGGCGTGTGTGTGTTGACCCGGGTCTCCTGGCTAGCAGCGATCCTGTACTGCCGGTTCACCCAGCCGCACTGCGCCTCGGGCGCGAGCTGGTCGAGGTTGGCCGGCAGCTCGAGCACAGCTCTGTGGTCGCGCCCGCTCTTTGGGTCTCCGGGGTGGCCGCAGCGGTTGTCCTGCCACGCCTTGCGGTCGGACGGGTCGACGCACTGCCACCTCCGCTGCCGGTCCAGCGCGTGGCTGAGCCGCTGCTGCAGCTCCTGCGCCTTCTCGCCCGCCGGCGCCTTGTCCAGCGCGGCGCGCCAGTCGGCCACCGCGCCGTCAAAGTTCTTGTCGTGCTCGTGCGCCGAGGCGCGCGCCTCGAGCGCCTCGCGCACGCGCGCCGGCGAGACGGGCACGCCTGGTCTCGGGCGACCTTGGGATGACCTCGGCGATCTCGATCTCGGGTGATCTCCGGTGATCTCGGTGACGCTTGGGCCCAGCGCTGTGACGTCGGGTGATCTCGGGTGATCTCGGGTGATCTCGGGAAGTCTCGGGTGATCTCGGGAAGTCTCGCCTGGGCCCGGCTCGGTGACCGCTCGGTACGCCGTCTGGCAGTCGTGCATCGCCTAGACCGAGGTTGCCCTAACCGGTCCGAGAGTGCGATGGCCGCCCTGTATACGCCGTCCGGCGTGCATTGCCTCCTCGTGCTTGTTCATCGCGGACCGCGCGCGGCACAGCTTGAGCAGCAGCTGCGCGCGAAACAGCGCGGAGCCGACGTCCATCCCGCGCAGCTTGCCGAGCACGTCGTCGAGCGCCTTGACCGCCTTGTGGTTGTACCCTTTGGTCAGCTGCGCCTCGGCCTCCTCGGTCAGCTTGAGCACCGCCTTGAGCTTCTTGTACTGCTCGCGGACGGAGGACTGGTCCGGGTCGTACTTGAGCACGCTCGAGAAGAAGTCGAGCGCCTAGTCTCGGCTGCTCTCGGCTGCTCTCGGCTGCTCTCGGCTGCTCTCGGCTGCTCTCGGCTGCTCTCGGCTGCTCTCGGCTGCTCTCGGCTGCTCTCGGCTCTCTCTGAAGAGGGCGCCTTCTTGCCGTCGCCGAGCTCGAGCGCCGCGGCGCTGCCCAACGCCACCGCGAGCATGCGCGGCTGCCCGCGCTCCCAGCTGCTGTGCGTCGCGCTCGCCTCCACGACGCGCGCCGCCGCGCGCTGCGCGCTGCCCCACCGCCCGAGCTTCTGGTAGGCGCGCGCCTCGAGCAGCTGCAGCCGTGGCGCCGACCGCTCCTCGCGCGGCACCGTCTCTAGGAATGCGACCGCCTCCTCCCACGCCCCCCTCGCCATCGCCTCCAGGAAAGGAACCGTCCGCCGCTCCGCGCGCATCATCTCAACCACCCCACTCTTGGCGGCGGCCAGCTGCTCCTCGCTCAGCTCGCCTAGAAAGTTCCTAGAAGGTTCCTAGAACGTTCCTAGAAGGCCAGCTGCTCCTTGCTCAGTTCGCCCGCGCCGGCATGGTGCAGCGCGCGAGCGAACGCGGCGCCCGCGGCGGAGTAGTCCCCCTCGCGCCGCTGCCTGGAGGTGAGGGTGGGGAGGTGGTGAGGTGGGTAAACTTGGGGTGGCGGATAGCCGCCCTCGCGCCGCTGCCTGGCGCCGCGCACGACGAGCGCCGCCGCACTCGTCGCCTCCTCGCGCGCGTGGCCCGCCTCCTCGAGCCGCCCGCTGACAAGGCCGCCCAGCTTGCTCACCTCGTCCGCCGAGTGCAGCCCGTTGGCGGCGCAAAAGGCGAAGACCTGCTCCGACGCGTCCTGCCCCTTGTGCACCCGCAGAGTGACCACCTCCTGCCCGCCTCCCTCGCCGCCCTCGCCGCGCCGCGTCAGCGTCAGCGGCATCTCCACCAGCGGCTCCGCAGCTGCCTCGCCGCCCTCGCCGCCCTCGCCCTCTGCCGCACCTCGCGCGTCCACCCGGAGCTTCGAGGGGGCGAGCACCTCGGCCAGAAAGGAGGACCAATCCGCCTCCGCCTCCGCGGCGCGCGCCCGCGCCTCCACCAGCGCCGCCGCCTCCTCGGCCGCGCGCGCCGCCGCCGCCGCCTGCTCCGCCGCCTCCTTCTCCTCCTGCTGCCTCTGCTGCGCAAGCAGCCGCATCGCCGTGCCAAACTGCGCCTTCAAGCTGGCCACGATGTCGGTCTCGAGCCCTGGCCGCATCAGCGCGCGTGCCAGGTGCTCGGCCGCCTCGTCATGCACGCCCTCCTTGGCCAGCGACTCGGCCCTCTTCTTGTGCGCGCCGGCCGTCCGCAGCCGCAGCTCCTTTGGCGGCTCGTAGGCGGCGCTCTCCACCTGTCCGACCAGGTGCTGCGCGATCTGGAGCACGCCGTCGACGTTGAGCGCGTGCTCCTCCGCGAAGGCGACGGCCGCGGCGGCGGCGTCCTGGCCACGCCGCACCACGCACTCGTAGCCACGCGAACCGCCGCCCGAGGTGAGCGTGAAGGTTGAGCGAGCCACGATGTCGTCCTCGGCCGGCGCTGGCGGCGCGTCGGCCGATGGCTCGGCCTGAGCTCCCGAGGGAGGCTCGTGAAGGTTGGCGCCGGCGCCCTGGGCGGCCAGTGGCACCAGCGCGCACAGCAGCACGAGCAGAGTCGGCACTCGAGCCCAGCCACAGCGCGCGAAAAAAAGTAAGAAAAACGCGAGCTCCCCGGCCCTGGATGTGAGGTTAATGACTGCACTCCAAGTGCTCCAAGTGCAAAAACGCCGAAATCGCCACACGCCCCCTTCCATCAGTTCGCCCCTCCTTTCTTTCTTTCCATCAGCAATCACGGCCTCCACACGCCGAGCACGAACGGCGCCGTCAGCCAGCTGCGCGCGGCGGCGAGCGAGTGCCTCGCCATGCTCTGCCGACTCCAGCCGCCCTCCTCGAGCAGGCCGGCGAGGTCGTCGTCCAGGCGGCAGCCGTCGGTCAGCGCCTACGCAGGTAGGTAGAGGTGAAGAACAGTCTGACCGTCGACTATAGACACTGGGCGGTAAGGGTGGACGCGCCTCGTGCAGCGGCGAGGCGAGGACCTGGAGGCGGCGAGTGGAGCGCGAGTCGAGCCCGAGGGTCGGCTCGAAGACGACGAGGCGCCCGTTCGACTTTAGCACCCGCCTCACCTCTGCGAGCGCGGCCGTGAGGTTGGCGCGGCAGAGCGCCGACAGAGAGACGACGGCGTCGACCGACTCGGAGGCGACCGCGCTCAGGTTGGAGGTTGAGAGGTTGAGAGGCGGCGAGGCGCCGGCGGCGGCGGCCGCCGCCGCCAGCGCGGGCGCCAGGTGCGGCCGCTCGTCCACCGGGATGGCGCGTGAACCGAGTCCGGGGAGCGAGAGGAGCGACGTGAAGCCGGCGGCGCCGAGGACGAGGGCGCGGCCGTGCAGGCCGGCGAGCAGCGGCGCGACGGCCGCTCCCGCCTCCTGCTCCGCCGCGCCGCCAGCGTCGCGCGCAGCGAGCCGGGCGGAGACCGCGGCGAAGCGCGGGACCGGCCCGTCGGGGCCGACGACGGAGCCCGGCGAGGCGAGGATGGCCGCGACGCACGCGATCATCGCGAGCGGCACGACGCGTGACCACGGCGGCGCATCGTCCGACTTCTCCTTGTCGGCGAGCTTCTGGGCGATGTTGGAGACCATGACGTTGGCTGGTAGCGAGGCTGGTGTGACGCGATGCAGTCTCTCGAGGTTCGCGAGGTGGATATCCTTTGGCCGCGTTGGGTGGCGAGGATTGGTGTGACGCGATCCACGATGGAGTATCCGCATTTTTTCTTTTTGAGGATGATCTGGCGGCTTTTCTTTTTCCTTGTTTTCCGTCCGGTCAGTCACCCTTCTCATCAAAAGGTCGAGGGGACTGCCTGAGCTCGCAGAAAAAAATCGCATCGCGCATCCCGGAGTCTGTCCGCCTGCCAGCCCGTCCGACTACCAGCCCGTCCGACTTGTCATGGCGCTCCCGTGGGCAAGCAGCGCGCCTGCACCCCCATCGCTCGCCTCCGGCGCGCGCGTCGACATCAAGCTCGCCCCGTTCGGCAGCGGCGGCGCCGGCGCCTCCGCCTCGAGGATGGTCGCCGCTCTGTTCGCGCGGCCCTCGCAACAACCGGCCCTCACGAGCGACGGTGCGGGCGAGTGGGTGGGCCGACCGGGCGCCGCTTACGAGATCGTGGTCACACTGCGCGAGTCCGCCTCGCCGAGCCGCGGCGCGCCCAGCCGCGAGCCGCCCCGTGCAATTCTCAAACACATGACCAAACGCCATTTCCACTCGTCGCGGTGTCCTCTCACCCGCACGTTTCGCAAGACTACTGTCACCCGCCGCCCTCACAAAACAGGCCAAATGCGCGTCGTTCGGGCGTCACTCGGCGGGCACGAGATCAACGAGCAGCTGCTGCTGCCTCGCGGCGGCGGCTCGGCAAGATTCGTCGGCTGGCTCGAGAGCGCGGACGGCACCAAGCGGCTGCAGTTCCTCTGCCCGCCCACCCCTGGCGAGACGGTCTGCATCCAGGTGCCGCCCATTAGCGCGCGCGCGTTGCCAGCGCACCTTGCGCGAGCCTTTGCCCTCTGCTCCCAGGTCGCCGTCTTTGAGGCCACCTCCCTCGGAGGCGGAGGCAAGGGCAAGGGCGAGGGCGGCGCAGGGCGGCCGCCGGGCGCCACTGCGGGAGACGCATTCGCCGGCCCGGCGGTGTCCAGCGAGCGCTTCGAGCTGGGGCAGCCCGTGGCGATCGGACAGGTGCGGCTGCGCTCGGAGCCGGCGGCGTGATGGCAGAGGTGTGCGAGGCCGGGGGGCGGTCGCACGGGCTGCGTTTCTTTATCCTCGCCGTCTCTCGAGCGTGCCTCTGGTACGGCAGCGGAGTGGGATTGCGACCCCGGCAGCGCGGGCACCCGCTACGCAGGCGAGCCGCAGCCGGGTGCAAGCGATCCCTACACCCTATATAGGGCTTGGACGTTGGAGAGCAACACGTCGTTAAAGTATGTATGTAACTAGTGAGACGATTTATGTTTGGGGCAGAGCGAACTTTTCGGCGGTCGTGGAGGTCGTGGAGGTCGTGGAGTGGCGAGTCACGGGTCACGCTCGTGTGACGTGTGGCGGATACAGTGGATAGACACACACACACACACACACACACACACACACACACACACACACACACACACACACACACACACACACACACACACACACACACACACACACACACACACACACACACACACACACACACACACACACCGCTCACCCACGCGCACTGGGCCTTGCACTTTGAATGCCGTGGGGCTCCTGTCGTCAGACGTGGAGACGCGAGGGTTGCCCCCCCTTGCCCCACCACCTCGTGTGTGTGGAGAAGTTTACCTTACCTTACCTTACCTTATACAGGATAGAGCATCGATGCCGTCGCCGGAGACACACACACACACACACACACACAGACGCACACACACACCGCTCACCCACGCGCACCGGGCCTTGCACTTTGAATGCCGTGGGGCTCCTGTCGTTAGACGTGGAGACGCGAGGGTTGCCCCCCCTTGCCCCACCACCTCGTGTCCGCGCTCCCTCTTAGGCCGCCGCCGCCGAGGAGCAGCAGCGCGAGGCGGAGGAGGTGCCGGCTGTGCGCCGCACCAAGAAGAAGAGCTGCGGCAGCAGCCGCCCGAGCGGCGGGGCCTCGGCGCCGCCGGCAGAGGCGGGGCCGGCGCCGATGCCGCAGGCCAAGCCAGAGCAGGGAGTGCCGGAGGGCTGGCAGAAGGGGGTGACGCCCGACGGGCGCGACTACTTTAACAACGTGGGCACCGGAGCGAGCCGACGCAGTGGATCCGGCCCAACGACTACTAGCGCAGGCGTCTGGACATCGGGGGCGAGGTGCTGCGAGGCGTGGCGAGACGAGACGCTAATCGCTATCTTTTGGGCGGGGGCGGGGGCGGGGGCACTAGCTCAAAAGTTATTTAAGTCACTACTTCAAAGTTATTTAAAGTCACTACACACTAGTCAGACTCAGAGCTCAGTCCTCAGACACCCTCGGTTCCCTCGTCAGACGCACCAGCCACCACGCACGTCCCGCTAATACGCGGATTATAGCCCGCGGACTACAGCCTAATACGCGCGGCCTCGGAGTTGCAGGTTTCGTTGAACCTGCACTCATTTTGCCCAATGCCACCACGCAACCTCACAGCAACCGCAGGCTCCACCGGCAGCTTTTCCAGCTCCGGTGTCACAGTCGATGCAGGGCCGGAAGCCGATGTCGTGCCCCGCATGTCGGTGGGCTTCGAGCCTCCGCAAACACATTCTAGCGAGTTTCCCTGCGAGCGCGGATAAAGAAATTAGACTCCGGTAGGTAGAATGGCGCTGATCAAGAGCATGTGCATGCTGAATGGGAAGAGAGAGCGAGCCGGAGAGCCCAGTGTGGAGAGCGGGTGCCGAGTCGCTCTCTTGCTCGCAGAGAGGGAGGGCTGTCGGGTTGGGCTCGCGCGTGACAAGGGTTGGGAAATGGGCAGCAGCGGACGCGTCTCGCGGCTTCCTCGATGGCAGCGGCTGTACCTGCGAGCGGGAGTAGGCAGGTGTTGTGAGGCTGAGAGGGGTGCAGTCACCCGCGCAGCGAGCGAGGGCGCATCGCGTGGCGGGGAGGTGAGAGGGCGGCGGGTTCCGTGAGCAATAGGCGCGGGGGTCTAGACGTGCAGCTCGCGGCGGCATATCGGGCGCAATGCGGCGCGGCGAGCGGACGAAGTGCATGGTATGCCTGAGGCAAAGGCCGGCGGCGAAAGGCGGTTGTGGGGTACAGTTTTTATCAAAAGTTTTTATCAAAAAGGGCGAGTTCGTCTCGTCTCGCCCAACATTGCTTGAGCACTTGAGCACTGGATAGGGCCGATTCCGCATGGTACGGGACCCCTCGATCGTCTCGCCCTCCCTCACTGGTGTTCATTGGGGGGGGTCATAACAAACACGGTACAGGATCGAGGTGCACGCTGCCAAAGCAGTGTCGTCCCCCCTCTCCCCAACATTGCCTACAGTTCCCCGGCCCTGGATGTGCGGTTACTGACTGCACTCCAAGTGCTCCAAGTGCCTAACGCAGTGACCTATTCGCGCTTGCCAAGGGACCAATTGCTGGCAAGCCTGCGCAGCCTGCGCTCCAGCCGGCGTTATCATTCACCTTATGCCACCGTTGCGTATCCGAGCGCCGTCCACGACCACGTGCTGGACAGCGTGGCGGAGGTGGGCCCGAACTACGCACCCTGCTGCGCAGCGCAAGGAGACGACGGCGAATAAAGTAAGGCTAAAACTCCCATGGCCGTCTTTCTTTCTCTTTTTAGCTTTTTCTTCTAGCACGCGCCAGTTCGCACCTGTGTCGAGCCTGTCTGCTGTGAGAGAGAGTTCTTTTGTTTAAATTCTTCTCCACATCGCACATGCATACTTACTAGGCTCTAGGGATATCCCTACATGGATACATGTCTGAGTGCCCTGTCTGCTGTGTGTGCTGAGTCTGTGCAGAGAGTGTGCTTTAGTGTCCACGAGTGTGGTCCGAATTGACAAAATAAAACAAAAGCATTCCCCCTCTCTGCCCTCTCCCGTCTCTCCGTCTCCGCTCTCGCTACGCAAACGCCTCGCGAGGAGGCGCACGCACGGGTACTGGCACGTGGCAGAGACCAGGCGCGCCCCTCTTGTTCCCTAGCCCATCTCTCTGAGCACTTCAGGGAAAGGGGACCACGCCGGTGGAAGCGACCCGTCCCTCGTTGCGCACATGGCATCTCTCAGTCCCTCTCTTGCGCGTCATGCAGCGCGGGACCAACCCCCTTGCGACCGCGACCCGCGACATCTCGCGACAGGGGGCCGGTCGTGGCACGTGGGCTGGCGGCCCGCGAGCTGAGCGGCCGCTTTCCTTGCTAGGGTTCGGGATCCTTGATGAAGGTGGCCTCAGCGGGGTCGGCGCAGCACGACTCGCACCCCTCGGACTTCAAGCCCGGCAGGCTGCACGCGTCGTATGCCGCTTGGCCGCACTCGCACTGGTGGGTGCTGTCGGCGTCGGGGTACCCCGCCATGTGGTAGCAGCCTGCGCGAGACAGACGGCGGGTCAAGACGGCGTGGTTTAGGGCAGAGGAGACAGGCGTCTGGGAGTATGGGTCGTCGCGCTGCACCGATCAGGCAGCTGTTGGAGTCCGGCCCGAGGGGGAGGGACTGCATCGGCGGGTCCTCGTCGGCGCCGCAAGCCTTGCACTCGGAGAAGCGCGGCGTGTCGGGCACGCACTCGGTGGGGTCGGTGACGCAGGTGCAGTGCTCGGGGCCGCCTGCGAAGTCTCCGTCCCAGCAGCCCTGCGAGTCGGGGCAGTGGGAGCAGAAGGCCGAACTGCCGGTGTAGAAGTAGGGGAAGCCCATCGGGTCCGTCAGGTCCGCGTTGTTGTAGTCGGGGCAAGAGCGCGGACGGCCACATCCGGTGCACTGGCCGGAGAAGCAGCCCTTCATCGCGTCCGGGCCGTCGGGTTGCGGGAGCTCCTTCAGGTCCGGGTCTCCGTCGGCGCCGCATGCCTCGCACGGCACGTAGGCGGGCGAGTTTGCGACGCACTTGTCCTCGGTTACGCAGGTGCAATGCTCCTTGGCGCACATGGTGTCGATCCCCGAGGGGCGAAGGGCGCCGCAGAACGCTCCGTCCCAGCAGCCCTGCTTGTCGGGGCAGTGTGCGCAATAGTCGCCCTCGCCAGTGTAGAAGGTTGGCATCCCGCCAGACCCGTGGTGTCCGGCTTGGCTGCACGCGTCCGGCTCGCCGCAACCCGCAGGAGCCAGAGTAGTAGTTGAAGCACCCTTCGATCGAGCCCGGCGTCGATGAGAAGCCGAGGAGGGCGGTGACCGTGAAGAGCATGGCGAGTTGGTCTGCAGATTTGAGCGAGTGCCAGTACTTGGGCGCTACCTTCGGCACCTTTTCCAATGTCGGCGGTTGCTGATTGTTGTCACGCCTTGGGCGAATCGGCTACGTCCCTCTTCTTCATCCTTTTGGGGTCTAACGCTATTCCCATGACTCTAAACACACGCCACACGTCACTCAGACGGAGCTCTTCATTAGAGGGGCTCGGTGTCCGAGGGTGGGAAGGACGTTGGATGGCGCATGACCCCTCAGACCGCACTCAAGAGGGAGCGCGGCGGCACGTCGGCTCGCACGCATCGCCCTCACGCCCCTCTGCCGCGGCACCTCAGCACGCGAGCCGCGCAACAGATTGCCGGCCGCTGGCGCATGCCCCTACATAGATCGCTCCGCTCGCGGCGGCAGTCGAGGGTCGGCGATCGGCGCGAGCTGCGGGGTCTCCCGGAAAGGCGGCCACGGCCCTCCGCCCCTCCGCCCGTCGGCTGGTTGCGAGACAGCCTCACTGCGGCGGCGCCTTGTACGAGTGCGCCGCCTGCACGGCCGCGCCTTGCTGCGGCCGGCCGGCGGGCTCGCGGCGCTGGCAGCCTGTTCACAGCTGAGGGTGTGAAGAGACGCCGTTCACGGGCCGGCCGGCGGGCGCGCGGCGCTGGCAGCCGTTCTCCGCGTCGCAGAGCACTTTGCGCGGCGGCTGCTGCGGCGTCTCGGCATTGTTTGCGCCGCGGTCAAAGGCGGGGGCCGAGTAGAACCGCTTGCTGAGGAGCAGCTTGTCGGCGCCGCCCGGCTTGAGGGGCGCCGAAGCGGCTGCGGAGGCGGGGTCGCACCTGTGGCGCAGCGGTGCGCGTGAACGCAATACCGGCCTCGAGAGGGTCGTCCCAGCGCGGGCGGTGACGAAAGCCCATCCACGTCGAGAAAAGGAGCAGAGCTCTCGGCTACCTCTCGGCTCCATCTCTACGGCCGCACCCGCCGTCCGGCATCGCAACCTCGAAGAGCAACAACCGCCCCGCCTCGGGGCGCACGCTCACACCGAGCGCGGGGAAGGTGTCCTCGCCGCCCTTGCCTAGCCTCGGGCAATCTCGGGTTATCTCGGGTAATCTCAAGGCGCGGGGAGGGTGTCATCGCCGCCCTTGCCCTTTGGCACGGTCGTCGCGTACAGGTGCGCGCCGAGCACGGCAGACACCGGCGACTCGCTGGCAAAGTCGTCGCACTCCAGCGCGAGCTTGCGCCCTCCGCCGGTCGCGGCGCGGTACCTGCTCACACACCGCAGCGCTGTGGACGGCGCCTCTGCACGGCGTGCAACACCCACCCGCCGCGGGGCGGGTGCCGCAGAATCTCGGGCGAGGAGGAGTAGGCGTAGGCGAGCCCGAGGCCGGGCGGCGACGCGTCCGCCGCGCTCAGCTGCACCACCTTCGCCAGGGCCGCCTCGTACGACTCGCCTTCGCTGGTCCGCTACGGATGAGTGATTCGCATCGGCCGATGGCTTTTGTGACCTGCGCCTCGGGCGGCTCGCCCGGAAGCTTGCTCGGCTCCCACTCGCCGTCCTCCTCCTCGTCCCACTCGGGCGGGACCTGCTTGCAGCTGGAGGTGTGAAGAGACGCCGCTCGCACGTCAGCGCCCCCTCCCCCCTGGGGCGCGCACCTCCACCGTCGCGGGATCGTCCCGCTCCACCATCCTCTCCTCCACCTGCGCAAACGCCGCCTCTGCGTCCTGCGCCGTGAAGCCCACCACGCCGCTGATGGCGGCGTCGAGCAAGTCGGCGGCCTTGTTTGCGCCAATGATCATCCAAGCCTGCTCACGGGGCGAGGCATGAGCAGCGACGGGCGGAGGGGCGACTCGGAAGCGCCGAGGGTCCTCCCCACCGCGTCGCGCTGGGTCAGAGCCGCGTCCAGCGCGGGCGTGAGCGGGCCGCAGCCGCTGTCGGGCGCGCTGCCGGGCGGCCCTCCGCCGCCCGCCTCGCTGTAGTTTGCGGCGATAGAGACGAGGGCGGCGGTGGCGTTGCAGTGGGCCTTGCCTACGTCGTACACCGACTTGGACATCAGGGGCGGGAGTGCGGTCTCGTGCAGGGTGTTCAGACCCCCGCGTGAGCACACGCTACGATGCAACGAATGCCGCGGAATACGGTCGGAGACAGCCGCAAGCACAAGAATGCGTCTCCCGCTTCTCGCGTCCGTTGCCTTTCGACGCCGCCTTCTTTGCCTCCTTGATCGCCTCCTCCACCTTCTTCGTGACCGCCTTGTCGGGCGCGTCTCCGAGGCACAGCTGCGGGCTGCCCTCCTCCTCGTGCGCCAGGCTGTCGAGCACGGCGGGCAGGTCGGCGAGCGCCTCTTTCCCAGCGGCGCCCAGAAAGTCGTCCACCGTCACCACGAGCGGCGCCTCCGAGAGGACCGTCAGCCTGCCCGCGTGCGGCCCTGCGCGCAGCGACGCCAGCAGCGACGAGAAGGGGAGCGCGCTCATGCCGCGCCCCGCCTTGACCCGCTCGACCACCTTGGCTTCGTCGATCGCGAGGCGCGCGGCCCTCTCCGCCGCCTCGGCCTTGGCGATTGTCGCCTTGTCGTCCTTGGAGAGCAGCTCCTCGCCGTCAAACTCGTCCTTCACGGCCTTCAGCTTCTTGCCGGCGCTCTTCAGCGCCTTTTCGAGCTTCGGCATGGGCTTCGGAGTCGCGCTGAGCAGCTGCTGCTTCCGCTCGAGCCCGTGCACCGACGCGTTCAGCACGCGGTGCAGCGGCGCCTCGGACGCCTTGCGCCGGCGCGAGAGGATGCGTGAACAGGGGCGGAGGTGAGATGGCCACAGCGAAGTGGTGATCGATGAGCGTGGCAGCGGTGTGGACCGAGAGCGGAATGCTTGTCATAGGAACTGGAGAGGTGGCAGGGAGAAGAGCGGCAAGCCGTGGGCAGCTCTCGCCTTGTCGGCGGAGCACGACTGGAGCGCCGTCTTCCCGGCCGATATGGCGGCGGCGAGGTCGTCTTTCGCGAGTGAGGTGCGCATCGTGAGCAGCACCTTCTCGGGCGCCGCGGCCAGCGCCGAGGCAAGCAGAGTGGAGAGCATCGCCTGCAAACTCACAAGGGCAGCGCTGATGTGGCGCACGAAGAAGAATTCCCGCATTGTGTGTGTGTGTGTGTGTGCCCTTCTGACAACGAATTCAAACAGCGCCTGACGCATGGCGTTCAGGCGGCACTTCTCTCGCGTCGGCTCCGCCGAGCGCTGCACAGAGACCATCTTCACTGACCACCAACGACAGGTGTGCGACTACGCGCTCGTCTACGCGGAGAAGAAGAACGACGGCGAAGCGCCGTACTCGGTCTCCTTCACCGCGACGCAGAGCGGCGACGTCATCGTACAGCTGCACCCGCACTCGCAGCTCGAGCGCGCTGTGCGCCAGGAGCGGCAGGCGCAGGCCACGGAGCCGCCTGCGAGCGCGAGCCCTGCGGCGCCGCCCGCCCCTGCCGCCGCGCCGCCAGCCGCGGAGCCGGCGCCCAAGACGTACGCCGCCGCAGCCGCATCGCAGCCGCAGGGTGCCACCGCGGGTGGCCAGCCCGCCGCGCCTGCGGGCCCGGCCGCCGCCGCGCGCGTGCCGCCGCCGCCCAGCGGCGGCGGAGTGCGCGGCTGCTCCTTCACTGTCCCTAACCCGGGCAGGAAGCGTGGGCAGCAGCAGCGCGGCAAGGGCCGCGGTGCCAGGGGCCGTGCCGATGCTGGACCCCGTCTCGTTGACAAGAACGCGCTGTCCGCGCGCGGCAGCGGGCCCTCGCGCCAGTCGCGCTCGCCGTCGCCCGACTCTCCGCCCGCCAAGCGGGCCGCCTCCGCTGACTCGTCCGGCTATGAAACCGATACGCCGGACGAGGTGCAGCAGGAGGCGGTCCGCAGGGTATGCGGCGCGCTCGGCATGAGGGAGCAGTTTGAGGCGGCGATGGCGGCGGGCGAGCTGCTCGAGATGCTCGAGAGCTTGCCGCGAGGGGCGGTCGAGGCCTCTGTCCGACAGATGCGGGGTTACAACCGCACGGGCGAGTGGCCAGAGCCCATTCTCACCAGCCCTACCCCGCAGCGCGGCCGCTCGCCAAGCCCCGTCGATGAGTGGTCAGATGGTTAGTGCCCGAGAGCGAGGGGTCCGGGGGGGAGCACAAATAGGACGCCCAGCCTTGCCCTCGTGCCGCCGAGTGCATATCCTATGCGAGAGAGATCCCCTGTGCCCTGTGCCCAGCCCTCTCCGCGCGGCGATGCGCCCTCCCCCCTCGCTTTTGCAAAATCCTGCAAAGGTGGGGACGTGTCTGTCCTCGACCCAGCCCTAGCTTGGGATGTCCGTTGTATTTATTTATTTATTTATTGTGCCCTTCTGATCCCGCCTGAGATGTTTGGTGTGAGGTCGTGGAAGCTTTAGGGGGGAGGGAGGGGGGAGGGAGGGGGGAGGGAGGGGGGAGGGAGGGGGTCGATGCGAAACTGTTGCACTGTTGCACTGGGAGAGGGTCGGTTCCGCACGGTATGGGCTCGATCGTCTCGCCCTCCCTCACTTGGGCCAACGAGTTCTTATATGTTTGTTGATGGGAGAGGCGGGAAGGGTCACGGTGTATGGTCAGGTACACGTTAATGTGATCTGTGATCTGTAGACTGTACTCTAAGGGTCCGCCCGCAGGCGCATTTTGTATCCCGAGGCGGTGCCCGGTGCCGAACTTGTCGGACCTTAAGACAGCAGTGGAGATATTACGATCTGGAGGATTGAAGGATAGTAATCTGGGGAGATCTGGAGGGCGCCCGGGTCGCCCCCCGGAGCGGCCCCGCGCGGGGAGGTGGGTGGAGGGCGGGCACCACCAGTTGGTAGTTCTCCAGATCTCCACTGCGGCACGGCGAGTGGTACTGGGTTACCCACCAACCCAGTCTCTCTCCGTGGGTTGCACTTTAATTTAGCGGGCAGTGCGTGTGGGAGGGCACGCTCCCATCTCCACACCCTCGTCACATGCACATGCACATGGACATGGACATGGACATGGACATGGACATGGACATGGGTGTGAGGTAAAACCACGCTACCAGCGCTTGGTCACATCGGCCCCCAGGTCAGATGCGTCTCCTCTTTTTTATGACAAGACTAGTCTACTGGCTGGAGCCGAGCGGCGGAGGGCCTGGCGCCCAAGCTAGAGGGTGCGGTGCGTCCTAATCTAAAATCCGAGGATTAAGGATTCAGGCATCGCTTCAGTGAGGCCAAAGTGAGTTTATGGATGTGTGAGAACGGTACGGGACACGAGGAGGCACGCGGACCGACTCGTCGGCGACTCTGCTGCACGCCGTTTCAGAATTTTTCTCAGCGTGAGCGAGACGTGGAAGAGTGCCACCGTCGGGTAGGACGGGTCGGCCTGGAGCATCAGAGTAGCCGTCGTGGTCGCGGCGAGCAGCGCCGGCCACTCCGGCGCCGCGTCGGCAACATGGGAGCATGTCCACCGCCACTTCGCGGTCGCAGCGCTGTTTGTCGCCCAAAACGCCGCTGATCCCTCTGGCGGGCCAAAGATCGACTCGCATGTCGATTTCGACGCGACGGGCGCATGGAGGCATCACGTCTCCATTCGCCGTCAAGTCGGAGCCAGTCTGCGGCGACCACAGCGCTCACCGCAGGGATCGGCGAGCTTTTCAGAGTCGAGCGATTGCGCGAAATCCCACACTCGTGGATTTTGGTACGCACCGCACACCCCCTACCCAAGCCCTGGTCAACTCAGGGTCCTTCCCCCTTTATAGATCGCACGTCCCCCCCAGACCCCACATCGTGCATCGATGTGAACGATGACCTCAGGTCAACACGGTCACGTACATACCTGTTTACTACTACCTTGTAGACATCTCCAAGTCTCTATCCACGATGACACGTCCCACGATCCCGCACGTGTGGCCCGTGGTGCAGTCTCTCCTTCTCGTCCCTGTGTTACCCGGGTACGTGATGGCACATCGCATGCAAGTGCAAGTGGTTATGGCGCGCGGGGGGGCAGACTCAGACGCCTCGCCGGGGGCTGGCAAGCCCCCCCGCCGCCGTCCCGCCGAGAAGGACGTCCATGTCCACGTGCGCCTGCACGTGCCGGATGGCGGCCTCCGTCCGCTGCCTGTCCGTCGCGTTGAGCTTGGCGGTGAACTTTTGTATCCGCTCCGCCACCTCCGTCGTCTCCAGCGGCGCGTGCATCGTCGGGATGCGCGACTCGCGCAGCCGCGCGAGGATGGGCTCGTCCGGCGCCCACGAGTGCCGCGTGCCAGTGAAAATGACTCCGCCGCGGATCTCGCCCGTCTGTGCGTGGTGCCGCAGGCACGCCTCCAGGATGCCCAGCCGCGAGCCATGCACGACCAGGAGCCGGTCGCTGTACTCTCCCTCAGCCAGCCGCTCCTCGAATCGGCGCACGCTGCAAGTGACAAACTGCACGCCGCCGCAGTGGCGAAGCACGTGCTCCTCGCCTGTGAGGAGACATGCACACCTTAGAGGGAGGAGCTCCACGCCACGAAGGCCGAGCCACCGTGCCCCTCGCCCGAAATGAGACGCTGGCCGAGCAGCTTCGCAAAGTCGCCCATCGACGGCGC